AAGAAAGAAAGAAAGAAAGAAAGAAAGAAAGAAAGAAAGAAAGAAAGAGAGAAAAGAAATTCACAGCTGATCACAGCCGAGGAGCCAAGGAACTATTTGATAACTGTTGAGGGGAGAGTTAGTTTTCTTTAATGATGTTACCCCCTTGTAGGTCACACACACTCCAGAGCAGGCACCATTCCCAAGAGTATCTAGGCAACACAAACTAGACTAGATGGGGTTGGGAAAAGAAGAAAGCTTAAACTTCGGTGGGATGGGAGTTTGAGGGCAGGGTAGATAGGAGGGGAGGTGAATATGATGAAAATGTAGTTTTCTCAAAGAATTAATCAAATATATTTAAAAAATAGATAGCATTCATATATTTAAGAAAGTGAGCTGGGTGGTGGTGGCTCACGTCTTTAATCCCAGTACTTGGGAGGCAGAGGCAGGTGGATCTCTGTGAGTTCAAGGCCAGCCTGGTCTACAAAGCGAGTTCCAGGACTGCTAAAGAAACTTTGTCACAAAAAAACAAAAAACAGAGAATGTGTACAAAAATGTGCACATGAATAACTTTTCCACTTCTGTGGCGTTTTTGATTTTGTTTTTTACTTACTTTGGGGGGGGGCTGGGATATTTGCAAGCCACAGCACATGTGGAGTCCAGAGGACAGCCTGTAGAAGCTGCTTCTCTCCTTCCACCATGTGGATGGCCTGCAGCGGCATCCTTAGTGCCAGCCACTGTGAGGAATGCTAGGATTATAGTTTCTTACCACCTCATCACAATACTCTGTCCTTGTTTCCACGGGAATGCAACTATTAGTTCTGTCTCCATCCTTAGGAATATTTATTTATTTATTTATTTTTAAATATTTATTTATTTATTTATTTATTATGTAATATTCTGTCTGTATGCCTGCAGGCCAGAAGAGGGCACCAGACCCCATTACAGATGGTTGAGAGCCACCATGTGGTTGCTGGGAATTGAACTCAGGACCTTTGGAAGAGCAGGCAATGCTCTTAACCTCTGAGCCATCTCTCCAGCCCCAGGAATATTTATGCTTAAACAGGCACATTCATACTCCCTGTACTAGCTCTGTAAGTCAGGGGTGTGTGTGTGTGTGTGTGTGTATATATATATATATATATATATGCTTGTTTGTTTATATTTCTGTGCTACAGATCAAACTCAGGGCCTGTATATAAAAAACACCCGTTTCCCTTGCTGGGAACCATACTCAGGACAGAATTTTCTTTGGCCTGTCAACCGGTTCCCAAATAAAAACATGGAAACTTATTACTAATTATAAATGTTCATCTTTAGCTTAGGCTTGTCCCACTAGCTTTTTTTTAAAATTATTTAACCTGTTTCTATTCATTTATGTTTTTTTTAAATATTTATTTATTATGTATACAATATTCTGTCTGTGTGTATGTCTGCAGGCCAGAAAAGGGCACCAGACCTCATTACAGATGGTTGTGAGCCACCATGTGGTTGCTGGGAATTGAACTCAGGACCTTTGGAAGAACAGGCAATGCTCTTAACCTCTGAGCCATCTCTCCAGCCCCCTCATTTATGTTTTGCCTTGGGACTTTTTACCTTTCTTTTACTCTCTATGTCCTAATTTCTTGCTTTCTCTATGTCTGTCTCTCTGGCTCCTCGTATCTTTTTGTTTCTTCATTGAAGCCTAAATTCCTCCGCCTACTTACTCCTCTTGTACAGAAGCCTGCTCATACCTCCTCCTGCATTGGCTGTTCAACTTTTATTAGACCAATCAGGTGCCTTAGGCAGGCAAGGTAAAATAGCAACATATCTTTATATAGTTAAACAAATATTCTGCAACATAAACAAATGCAGAACAGTTTTACAGTAAACAAATGGAACACATCTTTGCATAGATAAATATTCTGGAACATACCCATGTCCTTATTGACTTAACCAATTTATTTATATTGGGTTTGTGAGACAGAATCTCACTCTATAGCCCAGGCCAGCCTGGAGCTCTATCTATTGCCCAAGCTGGCAATGAACTTCTGATTCACCTGTGTTGGCCTTTTGAGTACTGATGTTATAGATGTGTGTCACCATGGAGATTTTAGGAACTTTTTTTTTTCCTTCTTTTTTTTTTAATTTTTGGAGGTAAGGGTCTCATGTAGCTCAGGCTCATCTCAAACTCAATTTGTAGCACAGGCTGGCCTTGAACTTCTAATCCCCTCTTCTCTATTTCCCAAATGCTGATGTTACAGATACATGCCACAGTACCCAGCCTAGGAACTTTGTTTTAAAGCCCCCCTACCTTTTAAAGAGTATGTTAGTGAATCCCAGGGAATGAACTTGATCATCGTCATTTAGTCTGCTCTCCAGATAGGAGCTGGCCTTCGCTTTAGCTATTGCCTTATCTTTTAGCTCAGCTAACTCCAGGTGTGACCTAGAAAAAGAAACCACTGACTGGGAAATTTTCAGATTTGGCACTTTCAGGACAGAAAGGAAACTGTGAAGCAGATGGCAGGTTCATTTCTGTGTTGGTTGGTTGAACACTGAATATTGTTTCTCCCTTTTTTTCTTCTCTTTTTCAAGAGTGTTTATCTGTGTAAACCTGGCTGTCCTGGAACTTGCTCTGTAGACTAGTCTGGTCTTGAATTCACTGCCTCTGCCTCTGGAATGCCAGGATTAAAGGCCTGCGCCACTACTTCCTGGCTTTTTTTTTTCTTCATTTTTTAAAAAATATTTATTTATTTGCTTATTATGTATACAGTATTCTTTCTTCAGTTCAGAAGAGGGCACCAGGCCTCATTACAGATGGTTGTGAGACACCATGTGGTTGCTGGGAATTGAATTCAGAACCTTTGGAAGAGCAGGCGATGCTCTTAACCTCCGAGCCATCTCTCCAGCCCCCTTTCTTCTTCATTTTTGACAGGGTCTCTCTACATGGTCCTGGCTGTCCTAGAACTCACTATGTAGACCAGGCTAGCCTCAAGCACAGAGAGATCCATACCTGCCTCTGCCTACAAAGTGCTGAAATTAAAGGCCACTATGTCCAGCTTCCTTTTCTCATTCTTTTTTTTTTAATTTATTTTTATTTTATGTGCATTGGTTATGTGCATTGGTTTTGACTGCATGTATGTCAGTGAGGTTGCCAGATCTTGGAGTTACATGCAGTTGTGACTGCCATGTGGGTGATGGGGATTGAACCCAGGTCCTCTGGAAGAACAGCCAGTGCTCCTAACCACTGAGCCATCTTTCCAACCTCATCCTTTTTTCATTCTTTTTTTTTTTTAAAAAAAGATTTGTTTATTTATTATGTATACAACATTCTGCCTCCATGTATGCCCACACACCAGAAGAGGGCGCCAGACAGATGGTTGTGAGCCACCAGGTGGTTGCTGGGAATTGAAGTCACAACCTCTGCAAGAGCAGCCAGTGCTCTTAACCACTGAGCCATCTCTCCAGCCCCCTTTTTTCATTCTTAAAGCAGCTATTGGAGGCTAGTAGCAGAGGAACCCCAAACATAACAGTGCAATAAAACTTTTCACTAATTTAAATGAACGCAAAGCCACTATGAAGTAATGAAGGTATATGAGCCATTTGTTTTGTTTCTTGACTTCAGGTATATAGATGAAATGCTACTAAGTGGGCACAGTGGCACACATCTTTAGTCCCAACTATTATGAGAGGCTGAGGCAGGAGGGTCACTAAGCCTATAAGTTCAAGACCAATCTGGCAACACAGCAGACTACATCTTTAAAAATAAAAAAAATCCAAAAATAGCCAGCTGGAGGTGGCATACGCCTTTAGCTTCAGCATTCTCAGAGGTAGGCAGATTTCTGTGAGTTTGAGGCCAGCCTTGTACACAGAGAGTTCCGGGACAGCCAGGGTTACACAGAGAAACCCTGTCTAGAAAAACAAACAAACAAACAAACAAACAAACAAAAAATTAGAAAAAGGTTGGGGATATAGCCCAGGTGGTGGGTTTCTTGTCTGAATCCCCATCAATGAATAATGCATGGTGGTTCATGACTATAATCCCAACACCTGGGAGGTGGAGTCAGGAGGACTATGAATTTGAGATCAGATACAAACAAATAAGCAAAACTTAGCTCTGACCTATAGAGATTTTGTTTGTTTAAGTCATAATTTTAAGATGGGTGAATCAGCAAGGCTATCTTCAGGTACAAATCAAATTCAAAGCCAGCATGGGCTACAAGACTTTCTTTTTTCTTTTTTTTCTTTCTTTCTTCTTTCGTTTTTCGAGGCAGGGTTTCTCTGTGGCTTTGGAGCCTGTCCTGGAACTAGCTCATGTAGACCAGGCTGGCCTCGAACTCACAGAGATCTGCCTGCCTCTGCCTCCCGACTGCTGGGATTAAAGGCGTGCGCCACCACCACCTGGCCTTTTTTTGTTTGTTTGTTTTGAAATATTTTATTTTTATTTTATTTATTTACTTTTGATGGAACTTCTTGGTTTCTCGAGATAGGATTTCTCTGTTCAACCGCTACAAGACTTTCAAAAGAAAGAAAAAAGAATTATCTGGCAGTGGTGGCAAACACCTTTGGTTCCAGCACTCAGGAGGCAGAGACAGGCAAATCTCTGAGTTCGAAGCCAGCCTAGTCTACAGAATGAGTTTCAGCACAGCCAGGGCTACACAGAGAAACCCTGTTTTGAAAAAAAAAAAGTAATTCATGGTGACATAAGTTAAGTAACAGAACTTATTATTGCATGGAGTAATTGTGATACATTCAGATTCAGATTTTGGAGAACTAGGGTAACTGGGAGTATTACCAGTGCTCTCTGGTCCACTGGGTCATTGTGGTCTGTCTGTAATTGCCTTCCTTCTTTGTTGTCTTTGAAGATGCCAATGTCCGGCGATACCTCCAGTTGACACAATCAGAACTCAGCAGCTACCACAGGAAAGAGAAGCAGCTGTATCTGGGCATGTTTGGTTAATGAAGAAAAAAGATGATTCTCTACATGAGCTCAAGTGGACCACTAAAGACCCATCAAGAGAAACCTGAACCTCAGCAGGAGAAATTCACCCTTTACCTCTGACCCAGGTGGATTTCTATTTTTCCCGTTCTGCACAAGCTCTTTGCTACTTAGGCCATCTGCATCCTTTATTGTCTATCCCTCAGTATGGCTGGCAATCCATATTATTTGCCTTGAGAAATCAACTAGAAAACATTCATCTACTGTGGATGCAATCAACTATATTTGTGATGTAGATAAAATGAGATGGTAGTAGATGTGTTCAGATACACAGGAGAAGACCAGTGAAGGATAAAATAGTAAGGACAGGCAGAAAGCAATCTTTTACTGTTTCCTCAGATGCCTTTGTTTTTCCCAGTGGGAAATATATATATATAACTTGTGAAACTAGATAAATATAAATTGAGCCCAAGTATATTTACATTAAAGATTTGAAATTAATCATTTTGGGGTTAGGATGTAGCTCAGTGGTAGAATGCTTGCCTGGCATGTACAAGGCCCTGGGTTTGATTCCCCAGTGTTGCAAAAATAAACAACAACAAAATCAAACTTTTATTTAAATTAATCTTTTTGTTTGTTTGTTGTCAAGATAGGGTTTCTCTGTGTAGCCTTGGCTATCCTGGAACTATCTCTGTGGACCAGACTGGACTCAAACTCACAAAACCTGCCTGCCTCTGCCTCGTGAGTGCTGGGATTAAAAGTGTGCGCCACCACTGCCCGGCTCTTTAATTTTTTTTTATCTCCCAGTAATTTCTAGTCCTTGATATTGCTTATATTCAGATCATTAACATAGTATAACTTATTTATTTGTCTTTATTCTGTTTTAAAACTTCTGAAGGAAATGCTTAGAATACATGAAACCCTGTTTTTTAAAAAAATGTTTCTGGGAGTCAAGCATGTAAATAGTTAAGTATTTAATAACTCTGTCCTCATGCCATGTGCTAGTGAGCTTTTTATGGGTTTGTATGTATGTGTGGGGCTGGAGTTTGAACCTATCTTGCACATGCTAGGCAAACACCCTATCATTGAGCTACATAGTCAGCCTCAAAGTGGTTTTGTTTCTTTTTGTATTTTGGACAAGGTTTCTCTGTGTTGCTCTGCCTGTCCATGTTTTAATTTTTAATAGGTGCATTTCTAAAGTGTGTTCATTTTTCTCAGAAATGTTACAGTGTCTTCTTGAAAGAGTATCATAATAAAGCATGACAGAACCCAAGTCTCCTCTTCATCTGTCGCTCTTATTTTTTTAAGAGCACAGGACCTCTCAGAGAAAAGAAACCACAAGGAAAGATGGTTATTGCTTAGTCTTGGAATCCTGATAGGACCTGGGAAGCTGTTGTGTTCATGGATGCAGGGTGCAGATCTAGTGCAGTCCTGCCTCTGTGGGGTCCATCAGCCAATGGCTGCTTTGTCATTCTGTTTGCTCTGTGGATTGCATCTATATCATGGGTGCCAATTAGTAGCTAAGACCATGTAGCAGGCCTCTACCATTATAAGTGGAGATAATAAGCATGTGGTATTCAGTAGCCATCATATTAAACATATATGATTCATCATATTAAACAAATATGATTCTTGGGGTGGGGTCCGTCTATTTTATTAGTAACACCCAAACTTTCCCAATGCACTACTCTTCTTTGTTCCTCCCTATACTTTAAGTAATACATGCATCAAAGTACAGCAAAAGGTTTACTACCAAATAATCTAAAAAATCCAAGGCCAGAACTAAGTAAAGTAGAATATTTTCTTTATTTAAACTTCTTAAACTGTTAAACTTAGCATTTGCCTGTAATCTCAGCACTCAGGCTGAGGCAGGAGGATTACTATGAGGCTGTATACTGAATTTCAGACTAGATTGGGTTCCCTAACAAGATCATGTTTTTTTGTTTTTGGAGACATGGTTTCTCTGTGGCTATGGAGCCTGTCCTGGAACTAGCTCTTGTAGACCAGTCTGGCCTCCCGAGTGCCAGGATTAAAGGCAAGCACCACCACAGCCTGGCCAAGATCATGTCTTAAAAACTCAAAATAGACGGAAAAAAATTCCTATATAGGTTTGGCAAAATTTTGTCATGGTGAATCCTGTCACATTTGGTTGGCCAGAGGCCCCTTATCTTCGAAGTTTCCTCTGAGTAAATTTCCATGTAGAAATCTTAACACTACCCCTCAATTATAAATATCCACTTGTCTTTTTGGAGTCAGGTTCAATCTGTGTCTAAAAGTTAATTTTAAAATCTTTATCATCTTGCATGTTTCACTTTTTGTTTCATTTTTCAAGACAGTGTTTCTCTACATAGAGCTGGCTATCCTAGAACTCACTCTGTAGACCAGGCTGGCCTTGAACTCACAGAGATCCGCCTGCCTCTGTCCCCAAGTGCTTTAATCCTGGCACGCGTTTCATTCCTTTGGAGCTGGTTTTACTTCTTGGTGGTTCTGCAAAAATTAGATATTCAAGTAAGCTGTCTACTATATTTTGAGGAAAAATAAAACTGATATTCACAAATACATCTTAGAAATTTATTTTGCTGATCATTTTCTTAGCCTTCTAAGATACTAACATGGTAATCAGACATAAATGGCAGTTTTTATTTTGAAGTCTAATTCCCAACAGAGACTTTAAGAAACAGAACAGTAGACAGAGGAAGGTAGCCTGACACAGGTCTGACAAGCCTATATCTTGGTCAGCCACAGTGGATCCCTAAATATCTGTTCAGAAGTTTGTGAGAGGAAGAGGCTGTAAGCATTTCCAACAAGATCTGGAGAGAGAAGCTTTGTGATGTATTTGAAGATCACCACAAAAGGCAGTTTGACAAGAATTCCCCACATTGAGACCTACCACCTCCGTAGATTTGCCTCAAGTTCTATTTACACATTACCTGTATTAGTGTTTAGTCAATATGTGAGGGTTAAGGGTGTAGTGTTGTGGAGTTCTTGGCTAACACTGTCCCAAAATGATTTTAATGTCTTTGTAGCCTTTGCTGCCCTTGACATCATGGCAGTCCTCCTGTGGTCAGCCTCCCAGGTGCTAAGATTATAGGCATGAGCCAGTACACCAGCTATATTCTTTACACACTGGTTATTCTTAAGTTGGCCAGGCTAGCCTAGTCTACTGAGCCCGTGAGCCTTCTGCCTGAGTTAGAACTACTAGTGCCAGTAGTCTGTAAAAATGGAGGTGAATTTACTTACTCATGAGTTCTTTTTTTCTTCTCTGTGTGGGCTAGGCGTGGATACTCAGGGCCTTGTGCCTGCTAGGCACATACTCTCCCACTGAATCACACCCTGGCTCACTGACTTGTCAGTTAGGTACTGGCTGGAGCAAGGCTGACTTGATTAGCCCAGGAGTGACTGTTACTCACACAGTTTAGAGAATCTGTGTCAGTTCCATAAGGGCATTGTTCCTTACTTTGAGGAACTGATATTCTAAGGCAACTTATTTTTAAATGAGAAATCAAAAGCTATAAAATCCACCATTTTGAAGGGAACTGATTCTCACAGGCTTTGATGTTTACAGTAGGAAAAACTGGAAAAGGTGCTACACTCATCTAGAATGGCTTTTACTATTTTTATTCATATTTTGCCCTTTCTTGGAGAAATTAAGGCAATAATACATTAGCATAAATAAAATTGGAACATAGCCAGTTATTCTAATATAAGGAATGTTAGCTGGACCTTGTAGTGATATTTCATTTGTATTTTAATAAATAAAGCTTGCCTGAAAATCAGAAAGTAAAACAGCCCCACTGGTCAGCCTTACAGACCAGGCAGTGGTGATACACACCTTTAATCCCAGTAGCCACACTAGTTTGCCAAACTGGGCGGTAATGGTGCACGCCTTTAATCCCAGCCCTAGAGAGGAATAAGGCGGGAGAAGACAGCTCGCAGGTACAGTCTCATTCTGAGATTCCTAGAGGCAGGATCCGCCATTTCAGACTGAGGTAGAGCTAAGAGTCAGTGGCTGGCTGTTTTGCTTTCCTGACCTTCAGGCTGAACCCCAATTTCTGTCTCTGGGTTTTTATTAGTCCTGCTACAGGATCTGGTTGTACATCCAGTACTGATAAGGCTAAGGCAGAAGATCTAGAATTTCAGACTAGCCTGTTGTACATAGCAAGACCCCGTCTCAAAAGACCAAAGAGGTAGGCATAGTGGTCTATGCCTAAATCATCAGATCTTTGGGTTAGAGGCAAGTGTACCTGGAAGGTGGCAAGGCCATCCTCAGCTACTTAGCAAGTTCAGGGCCAGACAGGGCTATAAGAGACCCTGTCTCCAAAAATGGAAGGCAGGAAGAAAGGAATGGAGGAAGGATCCAAAGAGGGAGGAAAAGGAGTGTGACACATATACAAGTTCTTCACTATGGGGAAGATGGGGTCTTCCTTTTTTGCTCAGATTAGCTTCCTCCAACTGCTGAGTAGCTAGGACTATAGGTAGCTGCCACTGTAGTTGTACTCAGCTTTAGAATTTTCTCAGCAACAAAACAAAACAAAAAAATCAACTCTTGCTTCCCATGATGCCTCACCAAGGGAGCTTCCTTTGGCCAAATCTTCACTGTTAGCTCAGTCTCCTTCTATCTCAAAACCAGCAGTAGCTTAGTTGGAACAACTTACAGCCCTGCGTGTGACCCCAGAGGAGGCCAAAGAAGTCAAGAAAGTCTGCTTTTATTTTGGCCTTTTTCAGTTTTGCTTCCTGTTTGATTTGCACTTAGGTCCTTGTGTGCCACAGTGAGAGGGTGTTTGTAGGGCACCTGGCTAGTTCACTCTATAGCTCCACTCTTCACAGCCTGGAAAGTTACTTCGTTTACATTGTGAGCTTTCCCCTCATCCCATCTCAGCACTTCAAACTCTCATTTCTAGTACCTCTAGTGCCAGTAACTCCCTATATAACTTTTGTGAGTGCTTTAAGCTTTTTAGACTGCTGTTATTAACAATTTTACTTCTTTTCAGAGTGCTAGGGTCTCAGGCTAAGTAAGAATCAGTCCCCAGCCCCACATTTGGAAGTAAGGGTCCAAGCTTAGAGGACTAGGAAATCCTCATGGGGTTTCCTGCCTTAGCTTTCCCAAGCAGCTGTCATTTCATTACCTCCTCAGGTTCTCAGCCCCCGTAAACGTCCCTCTCCATGGGCACACAGTTTTCTCTCACGAGTTTCTCATCTTCAGAGACCTCAATTCAAATTCACAAAAAGGCAAAAATTTCAAGTTTATCAATACAACGTCTATTGTCAAAACACACAACCAAAGATCTTTCTAGGTCCAATGCAGCGGACACAGGTAAGAGAACAAAGCCGTGCACTCAAAAGAGTAAGAAACAACTTCTGGAGCTGGAGGATGGATCCATGGTTATGATCACCTGCTGTTCTTCAAGAGGACCCAGGTTCAATCCCCAGCACCCACATGTGGTTCACAACCATCCATAACGCTACTTACAGAGGATCTGATGCTCTCCTGTAGCCTCAGCAGATAACAGCCATGCATGTGTGGTACAAAGACATACATGTAGCCAAAAGCCCGTACACATAAAATAAATTTTGTTTTGTTTTTTGAAACAGGGTTTCTGTGTAGCCCTCGCTGTTCTGGAACTCAGAGAATTGCCTTGCCTCTGCTTCCCAGTCCTGGGATTAAAGGCATAAGCTATACCACCTCATGGCAAATAAATAAATCTTCAAATAAAGAAAGAAAAAAACCGTCTAGTTGTTGGCTAACTATTTGCCTTGAACATTATTTTGAAAATGTATGGTTTTATCATGAATTTTATCTGGAGTCACAAGCCAAGTTCAAATCCTAGCTTTCTTCTTAACCAGCTCAATGACCCTAAACAAATGAATGAGTCCTGAGTCTCAAGTTTCTTTGTATCTGCAACGGGGGAGCCTAAAACTCCCAGGGAGTTGTCAGGGATTAAAAATGAGTGTATGAAGTACCCAATACAGCCCAGAACACACAAGTTCAACTGTAGTAAACCATGTGTAAGATTCCCTATTTGTACTCTTTTCCTAAGTTAAGTCTGTGCTGCCCTCTCCGTTTCACTTTTTGCCTCAGAAGCAGTCAGACCCACATGCTTACCCAATGCAGCTGTCAAATAAAAGAACTAAAGGGCGGACATGAACCCATCGGACTCGTGGAAGGAACCAGCCAACACCAGTTCAAAGGGATGATTTCACTGCTGGTTTTATGTTCCAGAATGTGGGATGAGAAGCAGTTACACCTCAGGAAAATTCCCAGTGCCTTGGAGTGTTCTGGCTGACCTGCTTTGCCCCGTGTCCTACTTATCTGGCTTGACAAAGAGATGGGTAGACACCTTCAGCTTGGGAAGAACCTTCATTCTGCCACCCTGTAGTAATGATGGGATTCCTCCAACTTCCTCTGTAGCCATCTAACAGTAGTAAGCGCAGGCCTGGCATCAGTTCATGCTCCCCAGATGTTAATTTTTGGGACCAAGTACAAAATCTTTGGGTGGTACTCCACCACCACTGCTCTGTCTCTCTGTTGTCTGGGAGCCAGAGAGGGGATGCACCCCAAGATTGGAACTAGCCTCTGGGTCTGGTTTGCTGCGTTTGGCCAGGTCCTCATTATGAGCCTTGCGGATGTGGCGGTAGAGATCCCCTGACTGTGTGTAGCTGCGTAGGCAATAGCGGCATTCATAGGGTCGCTCTCGTGTATGCACTGTGGCATGTCTCCGTAATGTATAAGAACATGAGAAGGTCTTTCCACATGTCTTACAGGTAGGAACATCCTCTGTAAAACTCCCAAAGCTCCCTGGAGCTACTTCATACTCAGAAGCTGGGTAGAGTGGCTCATGCAGGGCTGGTGGTGCAGGCAAGGGTGAGGTCACCAGTCCTCGATGATACTGCCCAGGACCAGGCAGCAGATGGTATGGTAGATGAGATTCTGGAGGCAGGAAATGGTCACCTGGCCCTACCTCCTCTAGTCCTGTTGCCCCTGGCTCCTCAAAAGTGTCTGGCTGTGAAGACTGTCCCCCATACATTGCACCTCCAGATGCGAACAGCCCTTCAGGTCCCTGAGGCTGTTCCTCTGACAAGTCAGTCTCCTCATCAGAGATCACAATAGCTTCTACTTTCACCTGGACCAGTTCAGCTTCAGCTGGGGCTGGAGCCTGGGACAGAACTGGGGCTGGAGCCGGGGGTGGGGCTGGAGCTGGAGTATAGAAGCCTTGCAATGGTCCTCCAGTATCCCTTGGTTCCACCACTCTCAGACTCTCAGGAACCACATCAAGAGGAGTCAAGGGCTCCACGGAAACTGCTGGAAGGCCAGAAGAGAAGTAGTTTACAGGAATGGTCTCTGTAGAGCTACTGGGGCTGGCAAGAGAGACAGAGACATCAGCCACTTGTGGGGGAGGTACCCGCAGATGTGGTGGGTCGACTTCCATGCTTGGTTGTGTAGTGTCAGCACCACCGGATACTGGTGGCTCATCTGCAGAATGAGCAATAGGTAAGGGAGTGGCTGGACCCTTCCATTCCTCTTTGCTCCAGCGGGCTGATGGCTCAACAGATGCCAGTAAAGGCTGGGGGCCACGAGAACTTCCTGACAAAAACTCCATACTAGCAGGATTGCTTTCCTCTTCCTTCTTGGTACTGTCTGCCTCTGCCAGAGCCCGGGCTTGCAACCGTTGTTTACACACCTTAACGATGTCATTCATGTGCAAGTAGCTGGCTGCAGCCAGCACATCTTCTAGAGGGGTATCTCCCCTAAGGGCCAGCTGGCCAGCATACATGAAGTCCAGAAGCAACCCAAAGGCTGGGGCTGTGACAATTTCATTGTGAATACACACCAGATCCCTCTTGTCCAATTCCCGCTCCTTGTAGAAAAGTTGAAAGAATGGGCTGCAGGAGGCCAGCACAGCCCGATGGGCCAGGAACTGGGTGCTACCAACCATCACAGTACAGTCACAAAGGAAACCCTGGGATCGTTGTTCCCGCAGGCTCTGAAGCAGTTGCTGACTGTGTTCTGGGAACTCCATAGCACCCCAAGAAGGGGAAGGGTGCCCAAGAAAGTTCCCCAACAGTGGTTCCCTGGAAAGATAAGTCTGAGTTAGTTCAGGTAATTTCCACAGCAACCTCCACTTCAGCCCTTAACTAGGGCTTACCACCCAAGGCCTCTGGCAACACATTCCCCCCCCCCCCCCACCCTGGTTCAGTTAACTGCCTGTCTTTCTCCCAGGTCACACCCAAAGACCTGTTGGCTCCGCCCCCTAGACTAACCTTAAGCATCGTCCCCGCCCCTATTCAAAAAAAGCCCTGCCCCCGGAAGTCCCGCCCCTAACTAGCCTCTGCTTCCTCGGTCTCAGACGGTGCCTTCCAGTGACTCCTTCAACTAGGACTGTCTTTCGCGCCCAAGCTTTCCAGGGTGATGCCTTCACGCCCCGGTTCCGGAACTTCCTGCGCTTCTTCCTCTCACATTCCAGGGATAAGGACTTCGAGCGTAGGAACTAGCAGAGAAAGCTGAGCCCTCAGCACAACCTAGCAGCCACCAGGAAAGCTCCGCCCCTTCCCACCTTCGCTGTCCTAATTGGCTTGAGCTTGCCCTCTCCCATCGTGGATTGGCTCACCGTCCACTACCCCGCCCCTCGGTAACCGGCTTCTCCAAATGGGTAGTATCTGCCATCGTTCAGGCGTCAAGGCTCACGATTGGTTGTTGCTCCTGTCGTAAACTTTTTCTTCCTCATCCTGCCTTCTTTGTCCCAGACCCCTCAGGATTGGCTGAATTTCTTTACTTACCTGGTTTTTGTAGGGCGGTTACGCGCCTGGATGGGGCACGAAGTTAGCATCTGCGTAGTGTGTCCGGGAGTAAATAGCGTGTTCCTACCGCAGAGTTCTTAGGAGACATAGTGTGTAACGTGTAGGCTCTGCCGAAAACAGTGGGCAGTAAACCATACTTCTCAAAAGTGCAGTTCACTCCTGTGAACTTCCTCAAAAATTCCGGCATGCCCCACTTAGTTCTAGGCTCAGCAGTGGTGTCAGAGAATGACCACTTCCCAGGCGCCAGTACAGTGGACAGGAGTGAGACAGAGTTTAAAAATGTCTTGGTTGTTAGAAATCTTTTCTCTACAGTTCCAATGATAAACCAAGGTACTAGACCACCAAAGCGCCCTTTGGGCTCCAATGAATTTATTGGATTTACAGAGCATAGGTAAGGGGTTAAAAGAGAATGAGTGAGTCACCCTAGAAGTCCCCGCTGGAAAGTGTTTACCTAGCATAAATGATAACTTTCCTTACAGCCTCATAGACAGAGCCCCCTCCCCAGTCATCCTACACCTATATATATTTTAGCGCCTCCTGGAGATTCTGGGCCCTGTGCAATTAGGGAAGAATTGTATGCAACTGGTTGAGGGGAGTAGCTGGATACTCGGGTGAGTCCCATGACTGTCCACAATACCTCCTCCTATAAGGGAAAGTCAATAGGCAGCAAACCCACCTGAGATGATCTGCCTGCAGACCTAGCCAGAGCCCTGAAGATGATGGCAGTTTGGCTGAGGATAGTCCTGTATGGGCTCATAATCCACATGTTATGGTGTATGTTTGCAATACCAGCATTCAGAAGGCAGAAGACAGCATCAGAACTTCAAGGCAGCCTGAACTACATAGTTCCAGGACAGCCTGGACGACATAAAACCTAGGTGTAGATGGTATGCACTTTTAATCCCAGCACTTGGGAAGCCGAGGCTGTGAGTTAAAAGCCAGCCTGGTCAATATAGTGACTTCCAGGCAGGCCTGAGCTACACAGTGAGCCCCTTAAAAAAAAAAAAAAAAAAGAATCCCAAGACTGGAGGGTTTTCTTTCTTTCTTCCTTTCTCCCGTTCTTTCTTCCTTCCTTTTTCTCTCTCTTTCCTTCCTTACATCTGTTTCTGAGCTATTATGGGCTATTGTTTGGACTGAAACATGTAAAGAAAACCCGATCTCACACATAGGCAGCTGGAAGAGGATTCCCCAAGATCATGAATGTTTCTTCCTCCACACCACACTTGGAGAGCTGTTCTAAGCTCTGAGGTTCCATCTACACACTTTTCAGAGAAGACATGATGGTCTGGCAATGCTCTGGATTTTTTTGGTCAGATTAAATCTGAAGTCCAATATATATTAGTCAAGAACACAGTTTTGGAAGAGGTCAGTTGTTCATAACCTGAACACTCAATCTGGTGTACAAGGCATGTTCCAAGACAATCAGAGTTGTTATACAGAGAAACTCCTATCTCAGAACAAACAAGTAAAAAGTCTTCAAATATTTGCTCTGTGAATGCACTGAATGCATTTTGCCCTTTTTTTTTTTTTTTTTTGGCAGGGTTTTTCTGTGTAGCTCTGGCTGTTCTGGACCTTTTGCTTTTCTATGCACTTTGTTCCAGCTTTCTTTAACAATTAACGCTTTTTTAGTTTTTGTTTTATGAGACAGGGTTTACACACACAGCCTTGGTTTTCCTAGAACTCACTATGTACACTTGGGTAGCTTCGAACTCACAGAGATATGTCTGCCTCTGCTGGGTTTAAGGGGGTGCGGCATCAAGCCAGGCCTATAGTAAACTATCTTTTTGTTTGTTTGGTTGGTTGGTTTGGTTTGATTTTTCGGTAGAGTTTCTCTGTGTAGTCCTAGCTGTCCCGGAACTTGCTTTATATAAGTGGGAAGTCTGAGCGCCAAATGAGCAGGCTTGAGGGGCGGGGCTTCGTGGGTCCGCCCATGACGTTAGGCTCCGTCAGAACCGCGGAAGTGGCTGGGACACATGGGCGGGACATCTGCAAGTGTTTCCGGTGAGGCTGCTGCCTGCCGAGTTCGCGGCTCAGAGCTCCAAACTTCTGCAGAAAATGTTTTATCACGTGAGTTGAACGCGAGGTGGCGGCGGGGGCCGGGGCAGGAGGAGCCAAGAGACCGGGAAGGGCTGACTAGTCGCTCCTTATTCTCAATGCGTCTGACTTTGTCTGCAGATTTCCCTAGAGCACGAGATTCTGCTGCACCCACGCTACTTCGGTCCCAACTTACTTAACACGGTGAAGCAGAAGCTCTTCACCGAGGTGGAGGGGACCTGCACCGGGAAGTAAGTTTCGCTCTCACCTGTCGTTTGCTGGATGCACGCACAATGAGCCTAGCCTGGAACCTCTACCCAACTTCTTGTCAACGGGCTTGTCATTCATTCTGAGAAACCCTTTCACCCATCCAGGCACCCGTGGCAGCCAGTTTTTGCCAGCTTTGGGCCCTCTGCAGAGTTGGGTAACAAAATTTCCATCCCTTATGTGAGCTCAGACAGTTATGCAAGTGTTTTTGGTTTTTGAAGTGGCTGGCCTCCGACTCAGAGATCTGCCTGCCTCTCAGTGCTGGAATTAGAGGCTTGTGTCATCACCACAGCTCGTTTGTATTTATTTATTATGTATGCAGAAGAGGGCACCAGATCTCATTGTAGATGGCTGTGAGCCACCATATGGTTGCTGGGAATTGAACTCTGAAGAGCTGCCAATGCTCTTAACTGCTGAGCCATCTCTCCAGTCAATCCCTGTTTGTAGTTTTTTGAGACACCTGTCTCACCATGTTGATTCAACCTAGCCTCCGACCCTGACCAATTCATTCTTCCTCAGTGCTGAGATAATAGGGATATGTCAGCCTTCTTGAACATTTCTTGTACAAATAAAAGAGCATCATTTGCTCTTACAGATACTGATCGGTGGGCCTGTCTTTTTCTTGGTCATTGAGCTCCCAGAGCAGAAGTTTCATCACACATACACAGATGCCCACAGACTCATGTTGTTGATGGATTGTTAGAGGATCTTCACATACAGTAGCTGTGTTGTTTCTTCCTTCTTGCAGGTATGGCTTTGTAATTGCTGTCACCACCATCGACAATATTGGTGCTGGTGTGATCCAGCCAGGCCGAGGTTTTGTTCTTTATCCAGTTAAGTACAAGGCTATTGTTTTCCGGCCCTTTAAAGGTGAGGTGGTGGATGCTGTGGTCACTCAGGTCAACAAGGTAAGAGCATTCATAGATAGGTTGTGGGATAGTCAGTCTCCAGTCCACTTACTAATTGTCTTAAATCTTTTGTTGTTGTTATTAAGATTTTTTTTTTCTTTCGAGATAGGGTTTCTCTGTAGCTTTAGTGCCTGTCCTGGAACTAGCTCTTGCAGAGCAGGCTGGCCTCAAACTCACAGAGATCCACCTGCCTCTGCCTTCCGAGTGTTGGGATTAAAGGTGTGTGCCACCACGGCCTGGCATTGTTATTAAGATTTATTTATTTATTGAGGCAGAGTTTCTCTATAGCCTTGGCTGACCTGCAGCTCACTTTGTAGACCAGGCTGGACTTGAACTCAGCGATCTGCCTGCCTCTGCCTCTGCAGGTTTTAACCCAACCTGGGTTATAGAGTTGAGACTCTGTCTCAGACAAAGTGGGAATCTGGGATATTATTCAGTGGGTAAAGTGCTTCCTGTGCAAGCATGAGGACTTGAGTTCCGATCCCTGGTACCCTTGTAAAATTCAGTCTTAGTAACATAAGCCTGTAATCCTCCCTATTTGGGAGGCTCAGACAGGGATCACACATTCAAGGCCTGCCTGGGCTATAAAGTAAATGCAAAGTTAGTTAGTGCAAATTAGTGATACCCTTAATGTTTATGTCTTAAACATAAAAGTTTTTGAAATCTAAGGATTATAGCTTAGTGGTTTAGCGCACTGGTTGCTCTTCTAAAAGACCTGGGTTTGATTTCCACCACCCACATTATGACTCACGATCTTCTGCAACTCCATTTCCACAGGATCCAACAACCTTTTCTCCCCTTCATGATCACTGCAAGCAGGCAGAATATTCACACACATAAAAATAATGAAAAAATAAAATAAAAATGTAAAGATGTGGTGGGATATTTGTGTACTGTGAAGATGTATTGCTGTGATTGGTGTAATAAAAAACTGAATGGCCAAAAGCTAGGCAGGGAGGATAGATGGGATTTCTGAGGAGAGAGAGGAAGAGGAGGAGGATGTAGGCAATCAAATTATGCCAGCAAGACACTAAGGAGACATGGAGGGAGTCGGACATACAGAACGAAAGAAAGGTAAAGAGTTATCTGGTAAAATGTAGATTAATAGAAATGGGTTAATTTAAGTTATAAGAACTAGTTAAAAATAAGCCTAAGCATCAGGGTTGTGGTGGTGCACATCTTTCTTTCTTTCTTGTGCACACCTTAAATCCCAGCACTCAGGAGGCAGAATCAGGCAGAGGCCTGCAGATCTCTGAGTTCAAGGCCAGCCTAGTCTAAAAGTGAGTTCCAGCCCAGTCAGGACTGTTACACAGAGAAACTCTGTCTTGAAAAGCAAAACAAAACAAGCTTAAGCTAAGGCTAAGCTTTCATAATTACTAAGTGTCTGTGTCATTATTTGGGAGCTGGCAGGACAGGAAAAGACTTGTTACATAAAGAAATGAAGATTACTGTGTAAGAGAGAAATGAAAACAAACGCTACAATTCAGACTCTTAAGGAAACATGAATAATATGATTAGACATCAGCTAAAGGTGGGAAAATTAGTCCCTGAAAGCCTTTGAAGTGTGACTGATCATTTTCCTCCTAGGTTGGACTTTTCACAGAAATTGGGCCTATGTCTTGCTT